GGGGGCCGTGCGTGCGCGAGGCCCGCTCGTCCGCCCCTCCCGGCCTCGGGTGTCCCCGACGCGCCCCCGCGACACGTCCACGACACGTCCACCACACGTCCCCCACCTCAGGCCTTCACTGTACCGCCCGGCGTCTACCGGTGGGCGACCTTGATCGAGCCGCCCGGCTGCCGGGCGGAGCTCTCGGCGCCGATGCTCCGCCGCCTTGCAGCCTGCGGGCCGCGCTACGAGCCGCCCCGTCGCGCCTCCGCGCGGCGGATCGCGCTGCCCGCCGCCGTGCTCGTGCTCGCGCTGCTGCTGCCGCTGCTGCTGCCGCTGACGCCGTGGCATACGGCGCTGCAGCCAGTGGAAGAGCTCGCGGCCGGACGCGACGTGTAAACTTGTTTTCGCCAAAAGATCGGCGCAGATTGAGAGCGCACCAGTCATTTACTAATTGTTCTGAACACGACAACTCTCCCAATGCCATTTTTTGCTGGCGGTGAAGCTGTCGAGCTCGTCCTGCTGGCAGCGGGCCGACGGCGACGCGAAGCTGCTGAAGCGATGCGGGTGGACCTCCAGAGGGGGGGGTGATGAGAGACAGTGTATTACAGGGGTCGGCGTGGACGGGGCGAGGAACGCGCCGCGCGGGGCGCCGCCTCACCGGCCCAAGTGGCGCAGGGCGAGGCGGCGAGAACCGAGCGAGCACGTGAGCCCCGTGGCTCCAACCAGGCCCTTCCTTTTTTGAGCAGGTGTGCCGCCGCGCGAGCGACGCTCCGAGATCGCCCGAGATAGCGCGGCGCGGCCCCGAGATCGCCCGAGATTGCGCGAGATCGCCCGAGATTGCGCGGCGCGGCCCGAGGCGAGGTGGATGGGTTGGGAGCGAGGGGGCGGAGGTGTTCAGTGCGGTAGATCGGTCAGTCGGGGCGCAAGAGGTGGCCTGTGAGCCATCCGGCTTACATTTACCCTGCGTTGTTGAGCCAGGACTCAACATACTCGTTCTGTTGCCATCCCAAACTGTCACTCCCCTTTCTCCCGGCCGGGGTGGGGCGCGCGCGGGGGCGGCGGGTGTGCGGCGAGTGTGCGGGATGTCTGTGGGCCCGAGAGCGATATGCCATGTCCGCCTTGCGTTGTTTCACAACATCGAAGCGAAGGCTAAGCTCAAAAGGAAAACCTACTCTGCCACTCGCGGAGATGACGTAGGTTGGGGCACGCACTTCCCACCCAACTATTGACTCCTATTCAGTGACCAGATTCAAAAACACTTGCTTGCGGTATTGCTGCGCCGGCGTCCTATGCACGCACGTAGAGAGCCCGAGAGCCTTCTTTCTGACTGCAGGTGTGATGCGCTGGCTATCACAGCGCCGCCGCAAACACTGTGGTGCGCGTGTGGGCGAGGGCACTTCGTGGCTGCAAGAGGTCCTCACGGCAAGAGGTCCTCACAATGCGCACTCGGAGCAGGGGAGAGCAAAGGTCCGTGCGAGAGAACTGATGCAGCTGCGTGTGACTACTCGGCTGCAGCCGATCATGAAGGCGCAGGGAATCCTTCGGGGGTCGCTCTATACGCAAAAGAAACCGTGGCTAGCCACGCCTCCTACGGGAAGACCCGCCGATCATGTCAAGACCCTCTAGTGCTCAGAGGTCCTCATTGGCACCTTCATAGATTACAAGAGGTCCTCACGTGGAGGGTATGCCGGCACCATGTATCACCGTTGGACTGACGGCGTCTCAGTCTGTGATTTTCGCGCAAAAGAGTTAGCCGGGTCAAAGAAGTCCCTCGCGGGAAGGAGACCCGCACATCCCTCAAGAGCCCGCACATCCCACACAAATAATTTTGTTCCATTCAGTGACCAGATTCAAAAGCACTTGGTTGGTTGGTTGCGGTATTGCTGCACCGGCGTCCTATATGCACGCACGCAGAGAGGCCGTCCCGAGAGCCTTCTTTCTGACGCGCCAGTTCGCACCTGTGTCGAGCCTGTCTGCTGTGAGAGAGAGTTCTTTTGTTCAAATTCTTTCTGACTGCAGTGTGATGCGCTGGCTGCCTTATCATGTGGAGTCACAGAGCGAATCAACTCACGTCGATGTGCACACGGTGCTCATGTAGGTCCTCATAATAAGAGGTCCTCACGCCCGGGCGGTGCCGGGCACACGTCGTTTCCCCTCGCAATCACCACTAACGGCTCCAGTGACAGACTAATAAGAAGGACTACTGCTCCCAGCAAACAAAAAAAGCAGGCGGTTCCAGCTGCCAGCCGTGCCGGTGAGAGAGAGGGATTGCCATTCGGGGAAAGCGTCAACATGCAAAATATAAGTGCGATGTGTATGTGCACTGGTATGGGCTCGTGTGCGATGGGCTTTCATAACTTCCTGTACCCAGAAGTACTTCACCGAGAGCAGTGAGGTGCGTAGGGGATCTCTGATGCGTGGTGTTTACGGTATCTAACAACATCACGAGCTCCTCACGGAGCGCCCTCGGACACGGCGAGAGGGTCCATGGCAGCTGCGTTCACTACACTTGCTCCATCCGATGTAGGCGTCCCGTCTCAGGGAATCAGGGGCCGCACGATATGCAAAAAGGGTGGCTAGTCACAGGTCCCAGGGTGGGAATCAACTCGTCGATGCGCTCAGGTGCTCAGAGGTCCTCATTACGAGGTCCTCCACTGCTCGCTTGCGGCTCGCGGCATGTACGTGCTCTCGCCGCTGCTGGCTGCGCTGAGCTTCTTGCCGGTCGGCCCAGCTGCAGCACCGGCTCTGCAGAGCCGGCCGCAGCCGTTTGGCGTCGCGGCGGCAGCGCCAAGAGGTGCTCAACAAAAATATTTCTTTTGGTTCAGAATTCTTTTTTTGCGCGCCATTGCGCGCTAGTTCGCACCTGTGTCGAGCCTGTGTGCTGTGAGAGAGACGTTTGTTTAATTCTTTTTTGTCAGACATGAGCTGGATACGCCGAGGCAAGCTTCTCGGCCTCGCGTGCGCTCTTCCCGGGATCCTCGGACTCCGGGTGCCCCTCCGCGCGCCAGCGAACCTCAACCTCCGCGGCGGTTCCGTCCTCATGTCTTCCGCCAGCGACCAAGCCGCGCCCGTCGAGAAGTTCCGCAAGGATTATGCGCCGACGCCTTACGCCATCAGCGAAATTGAGCTCGACTTCTCACTGCACGACGGCGAGACGGCCGAGTCGCGCGCCACGACGGTCACGTCGCGCCTTCACGTCTCGCGCCGCCCCGGCGCCGACGCCGGCGCCAGCCTCGACCTCGACGGCGGCCACGCTTCCCGGAACCTTCGCGGAATCTTCCGACAGCCGTCCTCGCGGAGCCGTCCTCGGGCGTCTGTAGGCGAGGACCTCGAGCTCGTCTCGCTGGCGGTGGACGGCGTCGAGCTCACGCCCGGCGGCGGCGCCTACGCCGTCGAAGGCGACGTCCTCTCGATTGATTCCTCGGCTCTGCCGGTGAACCTTCCGAGACACTTCCTTCCGAGACACTTTCTTCCGAGACACTTCCCTTCTATCCCGCCCGCTGCTGCCACTGCCTGCCGCCTACCTTGGGGGGGGGGGGGGGGGCTCCTTTCCTCACCCTCTCGTCACCTCCGAGGCGCTTCCGAGACACGCTTGATCACTCCAGAACTCGTCGGCCTCTGCTTCGCTGGAGACGGCTCTTGCCACAGACAGCAGCTCGACCTCCCACTCACAGCCAACCGATGGCTTCCGCCTCCCGAGCACCCCCCACCCACCCACCCACCCACCCACCCACCACACACACACACACACACACACACACACCGCCACGCCCCCCACCGCCACCACCGCCACCACCGCCGCCGCCGCCGCCGTCAGGCTGGCGAGGCGCCGTTTGTGCTCGAGTCGGTCGTCCGTCTCGCGCCGGCAGCCAGCCTGCAGCTCTCCGGCCTGCACCAGTCTGTGAACGGCGTCTACTCACACCTCCAGCTGTGAGCAGGCGGCCAACCTGCAGCTCTCCGGCCTGTACAAGTCCGGCGGCATGTTCTGCACGCAGTGCGAGGCGGAGGGCTTCCCGCCGTGCCATCCACTCCCTCTCGGGTCCTCTCGGGTCCCCTCGGGTCCCCTCGGGTCCTCTCGGGTCCCCTCGGGTCCTCTCGGGTCCCCTCGGGTCATCTCGGGTCCTCTCGGGTCCCCTCGGCTCCTCTCAGGCGGAAGGCTTCCGCCGCATCACCTACTACTACGACCGGCCAGATGTGATGGCCACGTTCAGCCGCGTGCGGCTCGAGGCGGGCAAGGAGTCGCGCCCCGCCACGGCGTCTCTTCACACCTCCAGCCGTGAACAGGCGGGCAAGGAGTCGTACCCAGTGCTCCTCTCCAACGGGAACAAGCTGGAGCACGGCGACTGCGGCGGCGGCAGGCACTTTGCGGTGTGGGAGGACCCGTATCTCCCAAGATCTCCCCATGCAGCTCCCCAGATCTCCCTCTAGGCACTTTGCGGTGTGGGAGGACCCGTATCTCCCCAGATCTCCCCATGCAGCTCCCCAGATCTCCCTCTAGGCACTTTGCGGTGTGGGAGGACCCGTATCTCCCCAGATCTCCCCATGCAGCTCCCCAGATCTCCCTCTAGGCACTTTGCGGTGTGGGAGGACCCGTATCTCCCAAGATCTCCCCATGCAGCTCCCCAGATCTCCGTCTAGGCACTTTGCGGTGTGGGAGGACCCGTATCTCCCCAGATCTCCCCATGCAGCTCCCCAGATCTCCCTCTAGGCACTTTGCGGTGTGGGAGGACCCGTATCTCCCCAGATCTCCCCATGCAGCTCCCCAGATCTCCCTCTAGGCACTTTGCGGTGTGGGAGGACCCGTACCCAAAGCCGAGCTACCTGTTCGCGCTCGTCGCCGGCGATCTCGGCAAGGCGAGCGGCAGATCGAGATCCGGGGAGATGTGGGGAGATGTGGGAGAGATACGACCTCGGCAACACTCCCTCGACACTTCCTACACACTTCCTACACACTTCCTAGACGCTTCCTACACGCTTCCTACACACTTCCCAGAGACTTCCTACACACTTCCTAGACACCGCGCCGTGAGCAGGTGAGCGGCTCCTTTCTGTCTAGGAAGTGTCTAGGAAGTGCCTAGGAAGTGCCTAGGAAGTGTCTAGGAAGTGTCTAGGAAGTGTCTAGGAAGGGTCTAGGAAGGGTCTAGGAAGTGTCTAGGAAGTGTCTAGGAAGTGCCTAGGAAGTGCCTAGGAAGGGTCTAGGACGTGCCTAGGAAGTGTTTAGGAAGTGTCTAGGAAGGGTCTAGGAAGGGTCTAGGAAGTGCCTAGGAAGGGTCTAGGACGTGCCTAGGAAGTGTCTAGGAAGTGCCTAGGAAGTGCCTAGGAAGTGTCTAGGAAGTGCCTAGGAAGTGACTAGGAAGTGCCTAGGAAGTGCCTAGGAAGTGCCTAGGAAGTGCCTAGGAAGTGCCTAGGAAGTGTCTAGGAAGTGTCTAGGAAGTGTCCACCCGCGAGCAGGTGAGCGGCACCTTCCAGACGGCGTCGGGGCGGCAGGTCGAGCTGAGCGTGTACTCGGAGAAGGAGAATCTCGGGTAATCTCGGGCAATCTCGGGTAATCTCGGCAGGTCGAGCTGAGCGTGTACTCGGAGAAGGAGAATCTCGGGTAATCTCGGGCAATCTCGGGGAATCTCGGCAGGTCGAGCTGAACGTGTACTCGGAGAAGGAGAACGTCGACCAGTGCGACCACGCGCTGGCGTCGCTGATCAAGTCGATGCAGTGGGACGAGGAGCGGACACACACACACACACACAGAGAGAGAGAGGGAGGGAGAGAGAGAGAGAGAGAGAGAGAGAGAGAGAGAGAGAGAGAGAGAGAGGGAGAGAGAGAGAGAGAGGCGAGGAACAGCCTGGCCCGCCTGGCCACCGGCCGCGGTACATGGGTGGGCGCTACACAGGAGAAGGGCGGCACGCTGGAGCGACACAAACACTCAGCCAGCGGACACTCACACACAAGAGCGGCTCGGCCTCGAGATCTCCCGAGATCACCCGAGATTGCTCGAGATCCCCCGAGATCCCCCGAGATAGCTCGAGATTGCCCGAGATCCCCCGAGATTGCCCGAGATCCCCCGAGATCCCCCGAGATTGCTCGAGATTGCCCGAGGCTGCCCCACAGGAGCGGTTCGGCCTCGAGTACGACCTGAGTCTGTACAACATCGTCGCGGTCAACGACTTCAACATGGGCGCGATGGAGAACAAGGGGCTCAACATCTTCAACACGGCGAGAGACACTTCCTAGACACTTCCGAGACACTTCCTACACAGAACAAGGGGCTCAACATCTTCAACACGGCGAGAGACACTTCCTAGACACTTCCGAGACACTTCCTACACAGAACAAGGGGCCTCAACATCTTCAACACGGCGAGAGACACTTCCGAGACACTTCCGAGACACTTCCTACACAGAACAAGGGGGCTCAACATCTTCAACACGGCGAGAGACACTTCCGAGACACTTCCGAGACACTTCCTACACAGAACAAGGGGTCTCAACATCTTCAACACGGCGAGAGACACTTCCTAGACACTTCCGAGACACTTCCTACACAGAACAAGGGGGCTCAACATCTTCAACACGGCGAGAGACACTTCCTAGACACTTCCGAGACACTTCCTTCACAGAACAAGGGGCTCAACATCTTCAACACGGCGAGAGACACTTCCTAGACACTTCCGAGACACTTCCTACACAGAACAAGGGGTCTCAACATCTTCAACACGGCGAGAGACACTTCCTAGACACTTCCGAGACACTTCCTACACAGAACAAGGGGTCTCAACATCTTCAACACGGCGAGAGCACCCGAGAGCACCCGAGAGTACCCGAGAGAGCACCCGAGGGTACCCGAGAGTCCCCGAGATCACCCGAGATCACCCGAGATCACCCGAGAGTACCCGGGAGATCACCCGCGAGTCCGCGAGATCACCCGCGAGTCCGCGAGATCACCCGCGAGTAGGCGCTCACCCTCGCCAAGCCCTCCACCGCCACCGACGACAACTACGAGCGCATCGAGAGCGTGATCGGGCACTCTTGCCTCCAGCAGTGGCTGCGCGTGCGAGAGGGCCTCTTCTTAGCCCCCCCCCCCCCCCTTCCCCCTTCCCCCTCCCCTCCCCTCCCCTCCCCTCCCTTGCACAGGCACGAGTACTTTCACAACTGGTCGGGCAACCGCGTGACGTGCCGCGACTGGTTCCAGCTCACCCTCAAGGAGTAAGAAGAAGAAAGATGAGGAAGGACGAAGGAGAATAATAATAATAATAGGTTCCAGCTCACCCTCAAGGAGTAAGAAGAAGAAAGGAGAAGAACAATAATAAGAATAATAATAATAGGTTCCAGCTCACCCTCAAGGAGCAAGAAGAAGAAGAGGAAGGAAGAAGAAAGAGGAAGGAGAATACTAATAATAATAGGTTCCAGCTCTCCCTCAAGGAGTAAGAAGAAGAAGAAGAAGGAAGAAGAAAGAGGAAGGAGAATACTAATAATAATAGGTTCCAGCTCACCATCGCAACCCGTCATGCTGTGAACGGCGTCCCTTCACACCTCCAGCTGTGAACAGGTTCCAGCTCACCCTCAAGGAGGGGCTCACGGTCTTCCGCGACCAAGAGTTCTCAAGCGACGTCGGGTCGCGCCCCGTGGTTCGCATCGAGAATGTCAAGTCCGTGCGCGGCCGCCAGCTCCTCGAGGAAATGTCAAGTCCGTCGAGGAAGTGTCTAGGAAGTGTCTAGGAAGTGTCTAGGCCGCCAGTTCATCGAGGACGCCGGGCCGATGTCGCACCCGATCCGGCCAGAGTCGTACATTGCGATGGACAACTTTTACACGTCGACCGTCTACGAGAAGGGCGCGGAGGTGGCCCTATTCTTGTTCTTCTTGTTGTTCTTAGTAGTATTCTTCTCATCAGTATTACTCTGGCGCGGAGGTGATCCGGATGTACATGACGCTCGTCGGCAAGGACGGGTTCCGCAGAGGGCTGACCGAGTACTTCAAGCGCCACGACGGCACCGCGGCCACGGCGACTCCCGCCCTCTCCTAGACCTCTCCTGGACCCTTCCTGGACCCTTCCTGCAGGCGCCGCGGTCACATGCGACGACTCCCGCCCTCTTCTAGACCTCTCCTGGACCGTTCCTGGACCCTTCCTGCAGGCGCCGCGGTCACATGCGACGACTCCCGCCCTCTTCTAGACCTCTCCTGGACCGTTCCTGGACCCTTCCTGCAGGCGCCGCGGTCACATGCGACGACTCCCGCCCTCTCCTAGACCTCTCCTGGACCGTTCCTGGACCCTTCCTGCAGGCGCCGCGGTCACATGCGACGACTCCCGCCCTCTCCTAGACCTCTCCTGGACCCTTCCTGGACCCTTCCTGCAGGCGCCGCGGTCACGTGCGACGACTTCCGCGCGGCGATGGCCGATGCAAACGGCGTGGACCTTGCCCAGTTCGAGCGGTGGTACACGCAGGCGGGGACTAATAATACTAATATTAATTAGTTATTCTTATTACCTTGCCCAGTTCGAGCGGTGGTACACACAGGCGGGGACTAATAATACTAATATTAATTAGTTATTACTATTACCTTGCCCAGTTCGAGCGGTGGTACACACAGGCGGGGACGCCGGTCCTCACCGCGGCGGGCGCGTACGACGCCGCCGCCGGCGTCTACTCGCTCACGCTGTCGCAAGCGTGCCCGCCGACGCCGGGGCAGGCGGCCAAGGAGCCGTTTCACATCCCGGTGGTGGTTGGGCTGCTCGACGCGGAGAGCGGCGCGGAGGTGGTCGCCTCCGCGCCAGAATGAGAATAATAATAGTAATGATGATGATGATGATGATGATGATGATGATAATAATAATAATAGGTGGTCGCCTCGCGCACGCTCGAGCTGCGCGAGGCCTCGCAGACCTTCACCTTCGACGGGCTGCCCGCGCCGGTCGTGCCGTCGTCGGCCCTGCGCGAATTATCCAAGGGATGAAAAACGAGTTCTCGCCGATGAATTAATTAGGTCGTGCCGTCGATCCTGCGCGGCTTCTCGGCGCCCGTCAAGCTGGTGCACGAGCTTTGATTAATTAATTAATTAAAGGCAATTAATCAATTAAAGGCGCCCGTGAAGCTGGTGCACGAGCCCGCCCTCACCGACGACACCCTCGCCTTTCTTGCGGCGCACGACCCTAGACGCGGAATATGTCTTCTTGCATTCCAACTAGCGCCCGAGAGACACGTACCCCGCTGTACCCCGCTGTACCCCGCTGTACCCCGCTGTACTCCGCCGTACTCCTATTCGTTGTGTTCACGCGGTGCTCTGAATGCACCGCACAGTACCGCCTTCCCGCCCTCATGCCGGCGTACTCAGCACGCAGGCGCACGACACCGACGCCTTCAACCGGTGGGGCGGCCGGGCTTATTATTATTATTATTATTATTATTATTATTATTATTATTAGGGTATTCATTATTGTTATGGTTAGGTGGGAGGCCGGGCAGGCCCTCGGCGCCAAGCTCGTGCTCGACACCGCCTCCGCCTTCGCCGCGGCAGGCGCTTTAATGACACAACGACTTGATTAAAAAGTCTCGGCAGTTAGTCCGTGAGAGCCTTCGCTTCGGCAGGCGGCGCGAAGCCGGACGCGGCCGTCGAGCTGCCCGCGCCCTTCCTCGCCGCCTTCCGGTCGACCCTCTCCGACGCGAGCCTCGACCCGTCCCTCCGCGCGTACGCTCTCGTGCTGCCTCCGCTCTCGGAGCTCTCGCAGGCGATGGCGGTCATCGACCCGACCAAGCTGCAATTAATAGTCAATTAATAGTTGATTAGCTAATTAGGCGATGGCGGTCATCGACCCGACCAACTTGCAATTAATAGTTAATTAACAGTTGATTTGTCAATTAATTAGGCGATGGCGGTCATCGACCCGACCAACTTGCCCGCCGCCCGCCGCGCGGTGCGCCGCTCGCTCGCGCTCGCCTGCGAGCAGGAGCTGGTCGCGCTCTACGACTCCCTCGCCCCGCCGCCCGGCGCGCCCTTCTCGGTGGACGGCGCTGAGATCGGCCGCCGCCGGCTGCGCAACTGCGCGCTCGGCTACCTCTGCTCGCTGCCCGACGGCTCGCCGGGGGGGCGCGACGCGGTCGCGCGCGCAAAGGCGTGGAGATTGCGGGAGATTGCGGGGGATTGCGGGGGATTGCGGAGATTGCGGGGGATTGCGGGAGATTGCGGCCACCTAGCCCTTACCTCCAGGCGAACCGACTGCCGTACACCCCTATCAATCTCCCCCTCCTCTCCCCCCTCCCCCCCCTGTCCCAGGCGCAGTTCGACGCCTCCGCCGGCTGCATGACGGACCGCCTCGCCGCCTTCTCCTGCCTCGTCGGCAAGCCCGACGACTCGCCCGCGGCCGCCGAGCGCGCGGCTGCCGTCGCCGCTTTCCACGAGGCCGCGGGCGGCGACGCGCTCGTGGTAAACAAGTGGTTCATGACGCAGGCCATCTCTCCCCATCTCTCGAGCCACATCTCCCCATATCTCCCCATATCTCAACAAGTGGTTCGTGACGCAGGCCACGGCGGACCGCGCCGGGCTGCTCGACGACGTCAAGGTGCGAGATGCAGCCGAGATGCGGCCGAGATGCAGCCGAGATGCAGCCGAGATGCGGCCGAGGTGCAGCCGAGGTGCAGCCGAGGTGCAGCCGAGGTGCAGCCGAGGTACAGCCGAGGTGCAGCCGAGGTGCAGCCGAGGTGCGGCCGAGGTACAGCCGAGGTGCAGTTGAGATGATCCGACATGCTGCGAGATCCGGGATTGTCGTGGTTCTCCGAGATTACCCGAGATTGCCCGAGCGCAGGCGCTCGTCCAGCACCCGGACTTTTCGTGGACCAACCCGAACCGGCTCCGCTCCGTCGTCTCCGCCTTCGCCTCGTCGATGGAGCACTTCCACGCGCCGGGCGGCGCCGCGTATGCGTGGCTCGGCGACGCGATCGAGAAGGTCGACAAAATCAACCCGCAGGTGGCGAGCCGGCTGGCGGGCGCCTTTGCGCTGCACAAGCGGTACGACGCCGAGCGCGGCGAGCTGATGCGCGCGCAGCTTTCGCGGATCAAGGCGCTGCCGGGCCTCTCCAAGGACACCTTCGAGGTGTGCGCTCGCTCGCTCGCGTGAGCGCGCTTCGCGGCGGCGGCGGCGGCGGCGGCGGCGGCGGCGGCGGCGGCGGCGGCAGCGGGCGCGAGAGGGGCCGTAGCGGAGCGGAATGGGGAGAGCTTTAGGCGCAGCCGCGGGTTGCGAGAGGAGGTGGGCGTATTCGTGGCGGGGTCGCCGCCTTGCGATGTTGCGTGGTCCGTCCGCGAGGCGCCTTCCCTTTCGGTTTAAAGCCACAAACCCGTTAGAGATAGAATCCGCCTCGGATATAAATTAGAATCCGCCCCTTCATCACACATCAGCACCGCGACCGGGCCCAGCGCCCGCGACGCGCCGAGCCGAGAGGACTGACTCTGACACACGCTCACGTGGCAGATGGATCCGGGGCACCCTCCACTCGATGCTCAGGCACGAGGTTCGAGAAGGGGGGCCCTAGGAAGGCCCCCATCCAGGGCCGCCCGGTATAGCTCTTACGAAATACCCAGAGGTGGACTGCTGGCTCGCTCTCACCCATCGATCGCAAGCTCGCGGAATTCAGTGCCTTCCGGATACGGACGGCGGACCGAAGTTGAAACCGCCTTGAAGGACGATGGCAAATGTGAGCTTGCCGGCGGGCATTGCCGGCGCAGAGGTCCCAAATCTCTACGGCGGGGACTATCGCTACGCCAGGGAAGACAAGGGCGTCGAAGTGCAGCTGCTGCTGTTCGAATCGTTCGGCGCGTCTCCTCGAGCTTCCACGCCGCCTATGTCGTCTTTTGCACCGTGATGCAGGCCTTTGCGATGCGTCTCTCCAACGTCGGGTGGTACGAAGCGACTGGCGTCGTGCCGCAGATGATTGTGATTGCGCTGACCGACATCGTGCTCCTCGTGCTCCTCTCGGAGATAAGCGCGATCGGCCTCATGCTGCTCAAGCGCCTCCTTGCCCGATGCAAGAGCGCGCAGCTCTCAATCAACGCGTGGTTCCGGCCGCCCGAGTGGATCTTTGCCGATCGCTACGCGCACATGCTCAAGCTGGTCGCCGTTGTCATGTGCTTCGGCCCCGCCGCGCCGGTCCTCTACTTCATCGGCGGCATCTCCCTGCTGCTCTCCGTCACCATCCAAAAGTTCATGCTGCTCAAGGTCTACGCGCGGCCGCGCCCCCTCGACGACGCGCTCGCCTGGCGGTCTCGCGGCTTCCTGCAGGCCCTCTTCTTCCTCCATGTCACGATGGCGCCGCTCTTCTACGCGGAGCGCTTCCACGCGATCCTAGCGGCAACGGCGGCGGCAAAGGATCCCTCGAAGGCGGCTGCTCTGCAGTGGTACCCAGGCACGACCCTCGCTGCGCTGGACGTAGCGGAGAGTATGAATTGGCCTCTCCTAACCCCTCCCATCACGTGCAAATAGGCGCGACGCTGTCGGAGGTCGGCGATGGCATGTACCCCTTCTTCTATGCCTTCGTCGTCTTTGGATTCTCCCTCTTTGGCGGCGGCGTGATCCAGGCCGTCTTCTGCTCGCGCGACCGTCACGCCGAGGATACGGGAGCCGACCACCGCTCTTACCAGGAGGCGCGCGACGAGGACGGCCTTGGCGAGTACCGATGCTCCCTCCGCTCCTCGATCGTGCACGTCGACCGGCCATACCGTAAGCCGCAGCGCGGCTCAGGCACAGCGGCCGAGCGCGAGCAGAAGGGGGAACACGCGTTTGTGTAAAAGCGAAGAGGCGGAAGCGGGCCACCCACAGCCCCCGACTAGTCTGGCGCCACACAGCCCCTTGGAGTGTGAAGGCTTCGTAGCCCTCCGGTCCACTATGGAGCGAAAAAGCAAGCGAGTGGGCGCCACACACACACCGTCATTCGAGAACAGAGCTCAGAGGCCAGACAGCGACGACAGCCAAACGAGTGGGTGATTCCGCCGATGACACAAACTCTAGACGTACCGCAGCAATTATACGTATCACAGGGCTCGGTGCGAGCATGGAGCAGCACCCACAACAGGCAGGCCTGAGAGATACACTCGCCGTGTATCTCTCACTCAAATCATCGCTGCCAATCCGGCCGGTGCCAATTTGTCTCGTTGTACATGGTGAGCGGGGCAGCGGACACGTTGAACTGTGTGTGGTACGAGGTGCGCATCCAGCGTGGTCGAGTTTTTAACTAACAATAAGATGCGAGCAAATGATCAGAGCCTGCGCACGCGGACTGCGCCAAAGTGTGCCCGGCCGCCGTTCTGGTCGCCGGCCACACTCGCGTGGTGAAAGCCGAGGCCGTCGGCCACGAAGTGCACCAGCCGCCGCCGCCGGCTGCTGTTGGCCTGCAGCGTCGCCTCCTCGCCAACCCCGACTCGCCTCAGGGCCTCCTCCACCTCGCGCACCTGCGGCGAGAGTGCACGGTGGCGTCAGAGTCTCCGCTCGGAAGGGCGGGGCAAGGGCCCGAGCCGCCCCCCGCATCTTTTGCGGAGAGCCCCATGCATCACCAGGGTGCGCACCTCGTCCTTGTCCCACTCAGACGCCGCTAAAATCGCGCCGAGCCTCGCCGCCATCGCCACCCCCGGCCCACGCTGACCGCCGCCGCCCTCTTTGCCTCCGCCGCCGCCGCTGCCCTCGCCGCCGGCGGCATCGCCGCCGCCGCCGCGGCCCTTGCCGTCACCACCGTCACCGCCGTCACCACCGTCACCGCCGTCACCGCCGTCACCACCGTCACCGCCGTCACCACCGTCACCGCCGTCACCGCCGTCACCGCCGTCACCGCCGTCACCGCCGTCACCGCCGCGGACGCCGTCGCCCTCCGCGCAATCGCCGCACGTGCCGCCGTCGCCCGCCCCTCCCTCGCGCGCCTCTGCCCGCAGCCGCCCCATCGCCGCGAGCGAGCCTACGGGAAGGTTCCACGAACGTTCCGAGAAGGGGCTCTCTCGGCGTGACCGGCGCGTCGAGAGCGACGGCGCCATCGGCGTCGCTCTGGGAGGCGAAGCGCCGCGCCACCTGCAGGAAGGCGCCGACGAGGGTCCGAGGAGGCTCCCAGACTCGCCCATGGGTGGCGAGGCGCCGCACCGCCCTCTGCGAGGGAGACCGCTCCAGCGGCCAGCCGCAGAGGATGTGGTTCCTATAGCAATCATGTCACGCTATAGCAATCATGTCACGCTCCAGCGGCCAGCCGCAGAGGATGCGGTTCCTATAGCAATCATGTTACGCTATAGCAATCATGTCACGCTCCAGCGGCCAGCCGCAGAGGATGTGGCTCTTGGGCGACGCGTCGAGCCGGTGCATCCTATGGGCATGTCTCGGACATGTCACCGACGTGTCCTCGACATGTCGGGCGATGCGACGAGCCGGAGCGTCCTCGTCACCCGCACGGCATAGCCTCCTTCGGCCGCCCAGAGCGCGCGGTCCTAATGAGTGAATCAGCAATCCCTACTCATTCACTCGCCTCGCTCGGCCGCCCAGAGCGCGCGGTCCTGCTCGAGGAACTCCTTGGCCATGCGCCGAAGCATGCCGCGCTCGCCGCGCAGCAGCGCCTAGTTCACGCACTCCACTCGCAGTGCACCACCCACAGGCATCACCGCCCGCCGCGCAACACGCGCCTCGTCCGACACGTCGGCGGCGCACGCCAAAAAGTCGTACTCGCTCGGCGTGAGGGCGGCGGCGACGGCGGCGGAGCGCGGGTAGGCGACCCGCACCTGTGAGGAGTCGCAACCATGTCACGCTATAGCAATCATGTCACGCTCCAGCGCGGGTAGGCGACCCGCACCTGTGAGGAGGAGCAACCAGCCCGCTTGGAGCTCACTAGCTAGAGCTCGCACGCATGGAGGCCGTCCTCGCATTCGCCTTCCCGGGACCCGGTGCTGCCTTGTGACTGCCGTCGACTGTCTGTCCCTTCTCGGCGTCTGTGCGTGTGCGATCTTGGGCCCGGGGTTGTGGCGTTGTGAGGGACGGACAGGGCGGCACGGCGGTCGGCGGCGGCGGCGGGGGGGCGCACGTGCGGGTGGACTAGAGAGGAGCACTAGAGAGGAGCACTAGAGAGGAGCACTAGAGAGGAGCGAGCGAGCGGTTGAAGAGCAAGGCAAGGGGACAGGCCATCCTGGTCAGGCCACCCGCGCGTCGCTGCCGCCGGCGTCAGCCAGCCATTAATTAACAACCGCTCCCTCGCCACTCCCAATGAATCAACAACCACTCTTCTCGCCACTCCCCAAAGAGTGGGTGTGCGCGCCTCGTTGCTGCCGGCGGCGCCGAAGCGGTACACGTCGCGCCGCGCCGCGCTCAGCTTGCCTGCGGGAAAGTTCGCGCCGGTGCAGCTCGGGCAATCGCAAGGCAATCGCGGGCAATCTCGGGCAATCTCGGGCAATATCGGGCAATCTCGGGCAATCTCGGCGTGCCGGTGCAGTTCGGCCAATCTCGGGCAGTCTCGGGCAATCTCGGTCAATCTCGGGCAATCTCGGGCAAGCTCAGCGTGCCGGTGCAGCACGGGCAGACGACAAAGCAAGCGCGAGCGGCGACGCACGCGCGCAGCACGAGGTCGGAGGCGGTGCCGCAGGCATGGAGGGCGAGGCCAACGTCGAACGGCTCGTCGAACGCGCCGAGGTCGCCGCACACGAAGCGGACGTTCGTCAGGCCGGCCGCCGCCGCGCGGCCGCGCGCAATCTCGAGCGACCTCGCCTTGAGCTCGACGATGGTCACTGTGCAGTGCGGCAGCATCGCCGCCAGAGGCAAGCCAAGCGGGCCGCAGCCGCCGGCGAAGTCGACGAGGTGCCATCTCCTCCCACCGGCAGCGACGTCGGCCGAGATAGTAGCAGCGGAGGCAGCGATGGCAGCGGTGGCAGCGAAGGGAGAGGTGGGAGAGAAGGCAGCGGAGGCAGGAAAGGTGACGGCGGCAGCAGTAGAGCCCATAGCACTCGCAGCAGGCTCAGCCTCACTAGTGACAGAGTTGGTGGCAGCGGCGGCGGTGGCAGGCGTAGCAGGCGAGGCGCCCGCTTCTGCCAGGCCCTCGACGAGCACCGCAGCTAGAGAGACGAGCGACTCAATCTGCCAGCACTTCCGCTGCACGCGCGACGCTGGCAGCGCGCCGCCCGCCGCGGTGCCGGCCGGGTGCACCTCCGAGTGCAGCCGCTCCCAAGTCAGCGCCGGCGCCGGCGGCTCGTCGGATAGAAGCGGGTGAGCGGAGCACCGAGGGAGTGGGACGCCGTCTGACGAGAGCAGCTTGACAAGCGCTCGCTCGAAGGGCTTTACGCCGACGAAGCACTCTGAGGCCATGCGAGGGAGGGTTCGGGCTCCGAACAGGTGGGGCAGGTGCATGTGCGGGTGTGTCTTGTCTTGTGGTTCTGTGTGTCGCTGCTGTGTGACCGTCATCGCCCGTCTAGCGTCCACCCATACCGCGTTGGTGTCCCAGTCGTTGGTCGGACTGTGTTTCGCCTTCCCATCAATCAATCAATCGTGTGTGGGCTATTCACCTTCCTACATACATACATGGACATGGACATGGACTAGGACATGGACATGGACATGGACATGGGCTTGTTCTTGAGCAATCGATCGAAAGGTGGTTGTGTGTGTGCACACACACACACACAAGGTGGTTTATCATGATGGAGATAATCGAAACAAGATCTTAGTAGACGGGGGAGATTTTGCACGATCGATACAAAAGTCCTCTTTTCTTCACATCTGTATCAACGCGTTTTGCACGTTGACAGGACCCCCCTTGTGCTTACTAACTAAGCCTTGTGCGGGGACTAGCTCGCCTCCCCCTGTGGCTCTCTCTTGCTTGCCCTGGCTCCTCCCATGGTGATCTGTGATAGCGCCGTGGGAGGTGTGAACAAGACCGCGCGCTGTGGGCCTGTGTCTGTGTGAGGACCTCCCTCCTTTTGGTCCCGTAGTGAGGACCTCTGGCCGCGAGAGTATTGTCAGGAGCGTGCGGTGCCCCATGAACTTCCTAAAATACATGTGATCTGACTGGAGGGTGGAGGGAGGGTAGTTGTTGGTGGGGGGAGGGTGAAGCATGAATTTTGGGGGAGGGGGGGGGGGGGGGGCACCGCAGTGAGGAACTAGCTGATGTGAGGACCTCTCCGCAATGAGGACCTCGGGCAGGCGCGCACGGGTGGCTCCGAGTGCCCTTGACAACTCCCGACCAGGTCGCCTTCCCTGCAGGGTGCCAGCCCACTGTCAACAGACAGGTCTCAGCGCCCGGACAGCGCGTGTTACGCAAGACGCATACCTCCGCCGTCCGCGTGTGTATTGTGTGTCGCAATGTGAACAATGTGAACAATGTGTATATTGTGTGAAAAGGCTTGAGCGGGGACTGAGCTCGCCTCCCCCCATGGCTCTCTCTTGCTGGCCTTGGCTCTTCCCATGGTGATCTGAGTGTGCGCAGGTAAATACTTGTAATGCTCGAATAGGGAGATGTTGCACCATCGACACCAGTGCCACTGAAACGTGTCGACATCCCGCACTAACTATACACAAAACCACCGTGCAAAGCCTACCACCCGCACCATACACAAACTCCCTGGTGAAGGAACCCCTCGCACCATTGACACATGCAAAACCTATCTGTATAAAACCTACCTGTTATCAAGAATCAACGCCTTTTCCGACTAGGAACCCCTTGTGAATGATTAGCCGTGTGTGCGGGGGCTGTCCTGAGCTCGCCTCCCCCATGGCTCTCTCTTGCTTGCCCTGGCTCCTCCCATGGTGATCTGAGAGTGCGCATGGGAGGTATGAACAAGATCGCGCGCTGTGGGCCCGTGTGCATATGAGGACCTCTCTCCTTTTGGCCCCGTAGTGAGGACCTCTGGCCGCGACAGTGTTGTCACGGGTACCGATGTGGAGTGGAGTGGCCCCAGCTACCTTCCTGGAGTACACTCGTGATCTGACTGGAGGGTGCATGGAGGGTGGTTGTTGGTGAAGTGAAGCATGAATTTCCGGGGGGGCCGCACGCCGTAGGCGAGAGGACCTGATGTGAGGACCTCTCCGCAATGAGGACCTCTCTCCGCAGGCGCGAAGGGATGGTTCCGCGTGCCCTGGCTCCCTACCAGGTCGCCTTTCCTGCAGGGTGCCAGCCCACTGTCACACACAGCGCCCGGACAACGTGCGTCACGCAAGTGACTCAAGACCCCTCGCACAACAAAAGACAAAAAGTTCTGACCCTCCTTACGGCTTTATAAAGGGAGCTATGCAGCTGACTCGGCTCTCCAGTGGCCGGGGTGGATGGTTTGGAGGAGCAAGAGAGAGAGACAGAGGGAGTCGCGATTGGTACCCCCGCTCGGTCTGAGCGCAAAGGCGCAGCGGATGGAGCAGGACGGGCTGCTACGCCATGGGGAGTCGGCGGGAGCGAGGTCCTCATAAACACAAGAGAGGTCCTCATCGACGTCCTCATAGTACATAGACAGAGAGGTCCTCAGAATGAGATATTTTGTTGAGCTTGAGGCCGAGCTCATCCTCGCGATGGGGCGCAACACCTTTTTTTAGGAGAGGATCTCGTTCATTTGCGGTTTAACCTTCGATGGAGGTCTGAGGGAGAGGTCTGTGCAGCTTCGCGGTTATAATGAGATACGAAGCAGGGGTTGAATTGAACAAGGTACATGTACATGCACATGTCATGTGTGGCAAAGCTTTGCATCGTTGATGGTGTGCTTGTAGTACCTAAACATCGCCCTTCGTTTTTTTTGTTGTTTTTTGTTTTTTATGGCCAGTGTGCGGACCGATGTAAAGTTCTTTTTACGTGCTGCAGAACAAACTGACGCGGGCCCAGTACCTCGACGAGGTGACGTGGACCACCAAGAACTGGCTGGGGCTGCAGAAGCAGCGTATCTCAGTCGTTCTTCACACGGCCATCGCAGAGCAGGTTGTTTCTACAAAGTTATGTGAACAGATCGAGGACTTCCGCATGGCGAACGCGGGTGTTGAGGCATGCAAAACCTATCTGTATAAAACCTACCTGTATATATCAAGAATTAACGCCTTTTCCGACTAGGAACCCCTTGTGAATGATTAGCCTTGTGTGCGGGGGCTGTCCTGAGCTCGCCTCCCCCATGGCTCTCTCTTGCTTGCCCTGGCTCCTCCCATGGTGATCTGAGAGTGCGCATGGGAGGTGTGAACAAGATCGCGCGCTGTGGGCCCGTGTGCATGTGAGGACCTCTCTCCTTTTGGTCCCGTAGTGAGGACCTCTGGCCGCGACAGTGTTGTCACGGGTACCGATGTGTAGGGGAGTGGCCCCACAGCTTCCTGGAGTACACTCGTGATCTGACTGGAGGGTGCATGGAGGGTGGTTGTTGGTGAAGTGAAGCATGAATTCCGGGGGGGCCGCACGCCGCAGGCGAGAGGACCTGATGTGAGGACCTCTCCGCAATGAGGACCTCTCTCCGCAGGCGTGAAGGGATGGTTCCGCGTGCCCTTGCTCCCTACCAGGTCGCCTTTCCTGCAGGGTGCCAGCACTGTCGCACATGGCGCCCGGACAACGTGTGTCACGCAAGTGACTCAACCTCCGTGTGCTGTGCTGCTGTGCTGCGTGGACGGACACGGCTGGTTGTGTGGAGATAACGGTAAACGGAGTAAAGATGGCAAGATCAAAAGATGGTCAAGTATGTGCAGAGCGAGTCGGAGCAGATTGTCGGCATGGATGCGATCCCAACCGACGAGCGCGGCGGCGCTGGAGAATCTCTTCGCCAAAATCCTGCTCGTGCAGGTGTGGACCCTGTCCTCCTCCCCCATCCCTCGTTTGGGTTGTCTGTTTTCTTTCTTTCTTTCTTTCTTCGACTGTCTGTGCTTCCTTGTGCGTCTTGGGTCCGGGGTTGTGTTTTTGTGTGAACAGCGCCTTGAAATAAAAATACGCTGGCGTCGTTGATCGAACGCCGCATGTCGCTCGCTCTCGCCCTCACTGGCACGATCTCGCTCGCCCAGTTATTGCTCCATAACCGAGCACCTCCACCGCCGCCCCGCCCGCCACCGTGGTGGTTGCCGGTGCAGCCGCCGCTTCCGCCATCGGCGCCGGCGCCGCCCGCGAGCCCACCGATGTGGAACCCAACCAAGGCTGGGCGCGCAGCCTCGAAGGCCTGGATGCGCGCCCTCCCGGCGTGGCTCAACCGCCCAGCCAGCGGCGTCTCCCAAATGCCTCTCCCGGCGTGGCTCAACCGCCCAGCCAGCGGCGTCTCCCAACCACCGCCCGCCAGCGCCCCGAGCCCGCCCCCCGTTCTCCAACTGTGCGATGAACTGCAGCTGCGCGAGATCACGAACGGCTGGACCAGCACGCGCGGCTGCCTCTGGCCGCTCGCGAGCGGCCGTTTCGGCTCCTGCCTTACTCCGGGCGCCAACACGGGGTCCTACAGCGAGGTGCGCATCGATGTGTGCATGCGCGTCACAAGAAAGCAACGCTCGCCCGCACACGCCCGCGTGGCGCCACACCAGAAGCAGGCGGCGCGCCTCTCTCCTAACCGGCTCTTCCTCCTCTCGACACGCTCCTGCGCCCGCGCCCGTCGCAGATCTGGCGCGTCTCCGAGTGGCAGTGCCAGCAAAAGTGCGAGGCCGATCCAATGTGCAGCACGCTGCCCTGACTCCCGCTGTATATGCCCTGTCCACTCACTCCCCTAGCTTAGAGCGCTTGCCTGCATGCGCTTGCCTGCATGCGCTGTACTGTACTTCCGGCGAGACTGACCGAGACTGTGGCCGAGACTGGACGAGATTGGGCGAGCTTGTAACGAGATGGAACGAGATTGGACGAGATGGAACGAGATTGGACGAGATTGAACGAGACCTGCCGCCTCTGCAGGTGCGTCGCCATTGAGTTTTCGTACATCGACCACTCCACGCGCTGCGGCTGATCCTGTGAACGGCGTCTGTTCACACCTCTGGCTGTGAACAGGTACATCAACCACCACACGCGCTGCGAGCTGCATCACGCGAGGATCAGCCACGTTCTGCCCGTGGGCGGTGAGCACACCCTGCACTGCATCGCACTCACATCACGCGCTCTCACCATCAGCCATCATGAGCCCTGCCGCTGCATGGAGGTTGCCTCTCGTCCTTGCACCACCTCACCCAGCTTCTGCTCAGGGCACGCAAGCACACACGCCATGCACACGCCAGGCCGGTCCTATTAATTAATCATGGTTGACCGCAGTTTGATTTCGTTATTTATTCCCACGCCCGCAGGCCGGTCCTGCCGCCTCCGGCCTTCCATCAAGAGCGGTCTCGTCTTCAAGGGCGCGAGATGGAGCCGAGATCAGCCGAGATGCAGCCCGAGATGCAGTCGAGAGCTAGCCGAGAGACTAGCCGAGAGACTAGCCGAGATCATAGCGAGATCATAGCGAGATCTCGCCTGATTGGAGGGGCTCGAGTGTACAAGCGTCTTTGGTGCGGCCGGCGCCGACTTCCCTCCGCGGACCCCCCCCCCCCC